GTGCAGGAATTTCCGAAGATAGTAGCAAAGCTCCTTGACACTAGTGGCAATGACCCAACAACCATGCATTCCTGAACAAGTTTCATAATTGTCGTGTAGACCATGTATAATGATCTATTGCGCTGAGCAGCTTCTTCACACAATCAGGTGTGGCCTCAACAAGTGAGAGATGGGTTGAAACACAGTTGGAACTGATTCAACTGCAGTCATTTCAACAAAAAGGTGGCCTCCAACAGCTCCGGCAACTGGTACATTGCGTACAGCACCCTCAGGCAACAGCAGCGTCTGTTCCACCCCTTAACCAAGAAAATGGAACCTGGCGGTGCCCAGGTCTCATTGGCGCCAACGTCAGTGGCGCTCACCTTCAAGGCCGGCGTTGCCAACCATTCTGGACGCAAGGTCGTGCAGGTGATCTTCTCGGTACCCGGGACATTGGGATCCGTGACCATCCCATTCAGCAGAATCAGTTGGCTTAATGCCAGTTGGATTTCCTTGGGTTTCAAAAGCTAGGAGAGAATTGTAGCAATTTTTGGTGCATCAGAAGCTTGGTACCAGGCTGGATCACTGGTGCCTCTAAGCCCGTGATCTGGCCTGAACGGCACTTGCCATGGCCGCAAGTGCCATGCAGCTCCAGGGGCAAGTAGATCGCTTGCAGTCACATAGGTCCTCATCAGCATGGTCAATATGAAACGATGCGTTTATGCTGCATGGGCCCCACTAACCATGATCATCTAAGAACACTGCAATGTGTCATCAGCGGGAAAGGTTTTCTCCAACCAGCTGTAGAACTCGGCAGCCTTTTCCTGGCCATGTTTCATGCTCAGATTTTCTAACAGGCACAAACATAAAAAGTGAGCTGAGTATACCTCACTGTGCAGTGACTCGCCAAGGAAGTCGTCAAAGGTCTTGTTCTTGTCTGTCAAAGTCTCTTTCCTGACGACATTGTAATACCCAAAAAGAGTTTAGTTACTGTGACATACATTTGTTGAAAACAATTCTTTATCCAAGAAACGCCCAAGTGTTAAAGAGCTGCATGTGAGGCATTGCAAGTGAGTCTGCTGGCACTTTAGGTGTGTCACCACCCTTGATCTTTTTGGCGCCCCCGCCGCTGCCAGGACCACTGGACGTTCTTTTCTTGGCTGTCATCCTGGCTGGAGGCAAGTCCGCGACAATGATTCTCAAGCACCCCATTGAAGCATTTGTGACTTGTGTTCTTATTCAGACACTGTTTTGTGAATTGGTTGTTTTGTTCATTCATGGTTTTGTGAATTGTTGAATTGTTCACAAACTGACCTTGGCGGTGCGCCCTCGCTTTTGTGAACGATTGCGACCCGATCATTCACAAATCGGCTGGTGATCCAAGAGGGTCAGTGGTGCACACTGAGACGATCTCGTCCACTGAACTCAGCCCTGACAGGATCCATCCATTTTGTGAACGATCACGACCCGATCATTCACAAACACAGCTGGGAAACCAAGTGTTCATTTTGTGAATGATTTGACCATTCACAAAAGCAGTGGTGATTTTCTCATGTGTTCACAAAACCAGGGTATAGTTTCTCACCCATTCACGAAATAACCAGGATTTCCTTGTTCATCTTGTTCAACAAAATGGATGGTTGGATGTCAATCCCCTTTGTACCTAAAACTTGGCTGACAGCTATTGGTATAAGCAACAGTCGTTCAATTGGTATTGTTGGGAGATCATCATGTCAGCCCCTAACTCGTTGCTTTGATAGCGTCATTGACGATCTTCAAAGCTCTTTGCATGGGCACCCCTTCTGCCCACAAACGCGATGCAGCTGTATACAGTGCCTGGTTTACCCTTGTACGCCTGTACATTGCTAAGTCTGCCCCCCTCACCCGTTGCCGAACAACTCGAAGAGCATTGGGAGCCTTTCCAGGTGAATGCTGGGTTTACTTACTGTGAGTTACTTTGAGTTTGCTGTTTGATTGAGTCGATGGCTGGTTCAAGATCCACCCCTCGCGGCATTGCAGCAGCCCTCAAAGCAGGTCCAACTCTTGGCCCTCGATATGGCAGCGCCCTCAGAACAAGAAGTTGTGGGTGAGTCGGAGTGAAGGAGTCGAAGTGAAGGAGTTGGAGTTGTTCAAAGTGAGTCGAAGTGTGTTTTCCAAATGAGGCTTTGACCAATTGATGTCTAAGAGTGGTGGGTGGTTATAGACACCGTTTGCACAATCTTCCAGCTCTTGAGCGGCATCACGCATCTCAAGAGGGTATTGGCCTCAAACCAAATACATCGAACAGTACAAATCCTTTGTGAGTGCTGTCTATCAAGGCCCTTGCGCATCGATCGAGCATATTTCCTGAAGGCCTTGCTCTCTTCCGAGTCGATGTTGATAGGCTTCTCCAAGAAGACTGAGTGTGATGGGTGGGAAGACTTGTTGATACGACTGGTAGGTGAACAGAAACCAGTTGAAGGCATGTTTTATATAGGAACATAAACTCTTTTTTGATGCAAGTGAGATTCGTGGAGGGCTATCACCTTCACACTGACGAGCAATGCATGCTGGTAGGAACAGAATTGGTGGATCTTGCCATGATGTGCTGGGCATGAAGCGCTTTGTCCTGTTTCCACTTAAATGCAAAAGTTACAGTGCAATCGCATTCCACTTCGCTATAATCAAAGCACTTTTGTTTGCATAGTGCTTCCATGTGAATCTCCTCAGTATCACATCTGCCTCGTCAGGCATGTAGCCTTTTCTTTGCCAAAACCGATCTTGCACAGATGCTCTGCCCACACCTGAACGGAGTGAAACAAAATAAAGATCTAGATCCGAGCGATACCGATCTAGGAGGGGACACTCGAGCTATCAATGTGTCTCAATTCACTCACACTGAGACAAGCATCCGCTGTCGGCAAAACGCTCCAATCGAAAAATGTGAGGGGCTCCGGGACCTCCAATACCTTCAATCTGATGTTCAAAGTGCGATAGGAGCCAGTTCTTCCTGGGGCCCAATGCTGCTAGAGAGACTATTCAAACAATTATTGCTATGTCGAGTCTGAACCTACAAACATCTACCATGGGTAGCACATGGAAGGAAAATCATTCAGAAACATTGTGCACCCTGAGTGTCCAGTCTCGGAACTGCGAGTAGAGAAAGACCTTTCGAACTGGTTCGTGTGGCCGACGTGCCGCATTCTCATCAAACCAACCCTGTAGTGAGGATCTGAACTGATCAGGAGTGTGCAATTCATGTGACCTCTCCAAGTGAGCCCTTATCAATGCAAATAGCCCATCCACGTCCTCATGACTATGCCCACTTGTCAAGAAGCACATTTGGGCTCCACGGATCATCCTCCGACAGGTCCACAATGACAATGCCCTTATCAAACAATTATTTTTTACTTCTTTTGTGCAATTGTCGGCCTGTACATGCAGAAACGTGTTCCGGAGCTCTTTGGTCTGGCTCAGGCAGGACAATGCATTTGCCAGCAGCTCTGTTGACCGGCTGCTTCCTGTTGTGACCCAATGAGGAGATAAAGCCATACTGATGAGGTGCCCATGCACGATCAATGTCGTGTTGCTAAGTCGTGGCCTGTTCAGGCCATTGAACTCTTTTGACAGCATTGACCGGCTCCGTGGCCAGCTATGCTTCTGGGCATCCATACTGTCCAAGATCATGGTGATCACTTCAGGGCTTGAAGAAGAGGAAGCCATCCTACTCCTTGATCTATATTCCCAATAACACTGACGATCTCTGTACTGGCGTTTGCAATGTTCCATCAACAAGCGTTGCTGTGATCTGCGCGCGGGGGGGCAGTGCCCCACCCGCTTGATGATCAGCTTGTGTCTGACACACTGCCAGCAAACACTGTGATGCGACTGAAAGCGGATGCGTAGCTTTCCTTCAAAGTGCGTTTGCCACACCTAAGCCATCATCATCATCATCACACACCCAAGAAACAGTCCAAGAAACATCACGCAGCTGGACATGGTTAACTCTTGCACGCGTAGAAAGGCGCTCTCTCTCTCTCTCTTTATGGTGTGCTAGTCGCTAGTGTTCAATGTTTATTGAAGTGGTATAGAAGAGTGCGAGACACTGTTCATTGAAGGCATGAGCATTCAATGCACTCTACGAGAATTGACAGAGCTTTAATTCCAGAATGCTTGGAGACATAATGAAGGTTCACGCATAGGATTGCCTACAACGACGTTGTTTTGGATACTTGTGGAAATATTGCTGCCTAGGCTCGCTGCAAAAGAGCTTCCGGGAAATAGAGACACCAGGGTTGGCGGCCAAGCACAAATTGTGATATTCATTTATCGACCCAGGGGGTAGGTGTCTGATGGCCGAGCGGTCTAAACCCTTGGCGTCAAGCCGCTGATCACCCTGACGGGGACGTTTGTTTGAGTTGGCGGCGTCAGGTAATTTTTCCGCGGGCTCAGTGTAGAGTTCTTGAAGGAAATCATACACCTTCTCTTGTGCTTCCGAGAGTGGTTGTTTCCCACGCAATATGTAACGGCTGTCAAATGGGCAGTGTTCAGCCCCTTGACGAACAGCCGTTCTGAGAGTGGCAAACCGTTGCTTACCAATGCCAGTCATGGCCATCCACCCCTTGTTGCACATGGGTTGGCCACAATACTGCAAATGAATGGCCCCCCTGCAGGCCTCCTGTGGCTGTGCCTTGAGCATGGTGAAGACCTGGGAGGCCCGAGTGGCGTCAAAGGAGTTTAATGATCACTTCATTCGTTTGATATGATTTGATCAAACCTGATGGCACTCTTGTTTGTTTCTCAAGAAAACTGAGATAGGAACCTGTTTGTCCATTTCCAATTTGCTCATCTTGATCCAAAGCCGTTTGTCTGCCAACCATTGATCCCAAAGGGCCAGGTTCTCTCTGAATGGCTTGAAGCACTCTCCACCCCGACATCCACACTTCGACTGGATGAGGTTTCTGAGTTTGGTAGCTGGAACTCTGTAACTTTTCTGAATCTTTGGTCGAAAACCACGTGATTTCCTTTTGCGTGTCCCTAATCCCCCACTCCGACGGACTTGCGTTTGCGCAGTAGGCGGTGTGGTTCCCTCATCATCACTGAGCTCTGCCACTGGTGACAAGGGCATGCCTAGCAACCTCTCCGCTGATCAGGCCAGGACAAGCTCTGCACCTGGATCTTCTCACCTGGGCGAGCGCGGTGAGCCAAGGTTCAAGGATCTTCAGCAAGGCTTTGCGATAGCCATATAATACACTCGCACATGCATTGACCCTTTTGAACCATACAATATATAGATATATAAGTATACCAACTTCTAAACAGAGTCGAATGACACGGATCAACATATGTTGCTTCATTCTGGGAAACTGACAGACCCCGAGCTGGTCATTGAAAAAACCTCATTGCAAAGGTCATGATCAGTTCAACCAAGACGATGCCACCGTTGATGGATTTGTTATGACAAAAGCACGTTGTTCACAGTGGACGTTCTTGTGAGATTGCGCGTGAAACCAAACCTCGAATGTCGATGGAAGCGCTCAAAGCTAAGGAGCTGGCTCCTGCCTCGTTCCACTGCCGGAACCCCACAGCAGTGAACCGTTGTCCGAGACAGTACATGTGAAACAATGCTCCTGTATAATTTTGGTTGTTCAATCATGAAAAGCACATGAGAACACCATGCAAAGGTGTCAGAAGGTCCAAGTAGTGTGGCCGATGCTATCATTTCTCCATGGCAAGTATTTGATTGGAAGATATTACCCAAAACATTGAAAGACTTGAAAGGTAAGAATAATGGAGCGCACACTTTGTTGATTGAGCCAAATTGTCACAAGTCTTGCTCCGAGTTGAACCGGTAAAGTAGCTGACGACAAGTTGAGTTTGAAGGGTAACGCATCTATTGCAGCAAACATGCCTGGAAGTCTCAAGGTCGAAAGCGACCCTTCCGCCTGGGCGTCGATGGCTGGGTCCCAAGAATCATTGCCATGACATGAGTATTGAAATGACCTCTTGTCAAAAAATGTATCCAGAACAAGTAGCCAGGAATTGCTGCAAACAAGCCAGGGACGCGTTGAGCTGGGAAATGCGACCACTGTTCACACTCTCCAAAACAGCTGTGTTATTGAATCAGCATGACAGCAAACATGCCATCAACTTGCAAACTGATTTGAATCAGTGTGACAGCAAACATGCCATGAACGAAGAAACTGTTTGAAGAGCATATGAATGCACTTGGAAAGGGCTTTGCTTTGCTCGCGCACAAGAGTAAGCTACCCAACACACACAAGCATCCCCAAGCTGGAAAAGATCCATCTAGGTCCACATCACCAATTGTGCATTTCATTGAATTTACATGGCTGGCATCGAAAAAAGGTCTTCGACCTAGGCCTCATGGCACAAAATATTCATGGCGTAGTACGCCATCAAAGGGACAACCACATTGCCAACAGCTGCGATCCTGGCCTTTTCTGCCTTTGATCTTGTTTTGGCAAGCCACTGGTGCATTTTGGGCTTGCGTGAACTCTTCATCCACACCTTTGTGGGCAATTCCTTGAGCTGCTGAGTGGTGAAGAAGCGCTTGCCCTGCCCATGTTAAACGCACACCGGAAACAGACTGACTTGCCGCCAGCCTTCCCAAGGTCAAAGCCCGGACGCTGGATCAAAATGAAAGCGCGTTGGCGCCAGATCTAAGTCAGTGCAAGAAATAAAGAGAGCCAAGTGCAGTCACAATCTATTAATGTCTAGCATGGAATCAACGTCCAAGTCAAAACCCAAGTCCCCAACGGGCGCACCAATGCAATGGCCATCCACACAGGCCCACTTCATCTTCAAGCCACGCTTCTTGCATTCCTGCGAAAAGATTGGGCCGTGACTAGGTTTACCAGCACTGTGTGCATGGTTCCTCTATAATGAAATCCATCACATCCCGAAGGTTGGCTGACAGCAAATGTCCGACGTTTTCCATCACCATAAAGTTCCTCATGTTCCGGGGCGGGCACTGCAACACGAAGCAAACAGGAAGCACGAAGCGCGTTCAAAAGAAAAAACAACCAGAACTACATCGCTATCAAAGTTTGTTGCAAAGTAGCAGTGGTTTGGGAGCAGAGTCCCAAAGCCTAAAGAAATGGCGGCACAGGGCCGTACGGGTGTCTCCCATGCCAAGCTGGGCACCTGCCTTGCTCGCACCCTGCCAGAACTGCGCTTGGAAAAAGAAACATTGCCCCCATCAAAGCCCCACTGCGTTTGGACACGTCAATGCTCTTGGAAAAAAGAGTGTGCCTGGCAAGGGAACCCCCCAACCAGTCCTTCTGGTTGGGGGGCAGGGCACATAGACCATTCAAACTTTTCAACATCCGGAAACACAGGACCAGGGTCAGCTAGTCCGTCCAAACATCGCTGGGCAATGAGTTCTTGACAATATGGATCTCGCTCAACCTTAACTTGAAGTGCCATACATGCCAATGATTTCCAGATGTTCTTGAACGCTTCTCATTCAATTTTCACCATCTGGGCTAACCACATAGCAGGCCGGCTTTACCAACCTCAGGTGTCAGGTTGCGCCAGTTGGGAAAATAGTATCTAGGCATATCTAGGCTATTGGTGAAGTCACTCAATTCTTGCATTAGTGTGAGCTCAGTGGTGGACGGGTGCAGCCCCATGTCAAGGCCCAAAATGCCCGAAAACAGGCTAACTGCTCTGTGGCGTTTTGCCTGACACAAGTTTTGAAGGGACTGTTGTCATGGTATTGGTGGTCTTGTCACTCTCAACCATGGGCCTCTGCTGTGTTCTGACGCCATGGGTATATGGTGTCCAAATCGTCTTTCACCAGGTTGGCCTCCAGACATGTCCAGTTCTGCGGGAGGCCTGCAGGCACGGGCGGGAGATTGAGGACAACTGACTGGCAGTTGGCCACTGTTCAGAATTAATGCCAGAATCCATTTGCAAATATATATATATATATACAGCAGTCGCCTGCGAACAGTTCAGCTACATTGGGAGTAGCGTACACCTGTTTCTTCTTGTTCACGGATCTGCGTGCGTTGGTGTACTTCTCGGACCAGTAAACTTGGGTCGCGAAATCCTGCCAAAAACAAAATCAGGACAACCCATCCAAAGGACACTTCATGTTTGGGTTTTCTTTGCACAGCACATCAGGCGGTCACGAGACCCGCGGATCGATAAGTATCTTGTGTTTGCCTTGCTCGTGGCCCCGAATACGCCTCAAGCTGGCCGGTTCACAGGTGGCATGATTGCGATTGGAGGAATTGGCTAGGGACCTGGCGGACCGTTCCCCATGAGCGAACGGTCAAGGGCTTGTGGGCAAGGGCGCCCTTTTTCGGCAAAGGCCCCTTCACTGACTTGCTCAGCCGTGGGGGTACCTCAAACAAATCAATTTTTGAATCGCAGAGTAAACGGCACCAATACAAAATAACTGGAATCGACAACACCTGTGGGTTTCTATCAGCAAATGTGGCAGGTATGGTGTGGTGCATCCTAGTCACCAAACGGATGTTTGGTGCCTGGTACCCATTCTGTGGCAGAAACCAAGGCTTGTAGGTCCTGAAGGTTCCATCCTTGATCACTGCGTTCTTCGGCAAGGAACCCTGAGCGGGAATGCTCACTCTGACTTTTCCATGTTTGGTGAGCCACCAGAAAAATCACTCCAATCCACCAACGATGACACCGGCCGAGGTTGTGCCTCAGGAAGACATTCTCCATGTGAAGGCTGCTCCTGGGCGGGCCTCAGGGGGCAAAGTCGGTGCGGAAAAGGTTTTGGTATGGGTATATGGTTAATGGGATCCTGACTCATCACCGGACAAGACCTCCACGTCGGAGAGGGGCATGGTGCTACGATGCAAACCTAGGACCTAGCTTCTCTGATGACCTTGATCCAACCTCACAGTAGTCTTTTTTTTTGAAAGTGAGGGCAGCTGTGTAGTTCACTGCAAAAGACTCTGTGTAAAAAACACACAATTCACTTTCCAACCCATGCGTGCGCAGGCGAATGCTGAGAAGTGCTGAGAGGAGGTTCTGAGTGCGTTTCATACAACCTTTGCAGCAGAACACGTGAAGATACATCGAGCCTTGATCTCTTACAAGACTGAGAAGTACGCAGAAGAGGCGATGCACTTCTTCTGAACGAAAACCCCCGAATTAAAGTTGGCCATCCACACACTTTTGCATGATTAAACAAAACACTGTGAAGTTGGCTGCAAGGTTTGTTTGGAATGCGCTGTGTGCAAGGCCAAGAGAACCCTAACGCAACTTCCAACGCGCAAACATTTATTGTGAATTGACATCACTGGATGCACTCTGAGAGTGCCCAATGAAAAAATCTAGAAATGAAAAGTCATTCAAATCACCTGACTCTCTATCCTCCACTGCATTAAGAGCACCAGAAATAGCCGCCATGGCCTTCATCAAAACTTGTTCAGGGTTTTCCGCGGTGTCATTCATGGAGAGGTAGTGGCCAACCTTGTAAAGATCAATTGACAATGCATGGGCTCCATTCTAAACACCTTCTAAACTGAGCACAGCGCTCTAGTCACCACTGTTGCCAAAAAGGCTCGCTCCTTCAGAAGCTCATCCTGACAAAGAATCAGGATTCCTTTGTTTGAGGATGCCGGACAAAAAACATAGGACCGAGCCAATGGGGTGAAGAGATCAGGCTCGAACTTTGAGAGCTCCTTGAAAGCCTGGGAAATGGGTTGGGATAGCACTGGGGGAATGGAGGACCTCGCGAGTTTCTGAGATATCTACCCTTCTATGAAGGCCTTGCACATCTTCCATAATTTCCCTGGTCCTCAGCAAGTGGACCGCTAATAGTTTTGTTAGATTATATCCCGGCAAAACCAAGTTTGGTGCATTGGAGAGAAGTCCAGCATCGCGTTCTGGAATTCATAACAGTCCACGGTTCAAATTTCGGTGAACACTTTATTCAATCCAAGAGCGCCTTCCGATGAAGTGGGGGACGAGGGCTTCTAGATCGACATCTTGAGCTCATGCTGACCTAGACCGCGCAAAACCCCGGCTACCCACATAGGGACCTGAACTGACACTGTCCTTGCCTTCGAAGCAGGGCCTTCTAAAAACAAAATGTGCCAAATGGCTGCCAAGCGGGCGACACGAAACCCACGCCGCGCCAAACGCGACTGTGACAAACAAGCGCAAACTCAACCCCAGTGACTGTGTGTGTACAAGTGTACTTATGGACCATTATGGACCCATTCTGAATTATATCATAACTTGCCGAAATCC